CCAAAATAATTAAATAATAATCAAAAGGAATGAAATTATTTCAAACTGTCAGCATGTTAACACATTCCTTTTGAAAAGAATGAAATGAAAAATTCATAATAAATAGGCACTTATTTTGAAAAACTGCTAAGTGTAAAACACAGTTACTGGGTGAGTAAATATTTTTATGTGTATAAAAAGCTCTTTTAAAAGTATTTCAAACAGAGCACTCTTATTTATACAAGAAAAGGAACATGCAAATAATATATATTTTGCTGTGTAAGTGCACACATACAAATTGTTTTTCCTTTGTGACTAATTGTTTATCTATATTGAGGTGTGGTGATTGAGAGCATCTGCAGTATATTACCCAAGAGAACCCAAAAAATGTTAATATGGACATGTGGAAACTAATCTATCAAAAAAGTGAGACAAATTTAAATAGGGTGGAGAGGACTAGGATTTAACCAAAGAGAATGATGTAAGAGAACAAGAAAACAGTTGACAGAGATAAATATTTTTTTCAGCAGATCAATAAAAAAAAAATCATATTTGTATTATGTCAAAACAGCCAAAGGCATAATTTAACAATAGGGCAAAAACTGATCAAAAGTATACCATACTGAACTTGTCATAAAAAAGTATCCGTTGGAGGTACATGCCTGAAACTTCAATTTTTGGATGATGAATTCAACAAAAGAGCTTTTTTTCTCTGTAATATAAATACCTTTTGCCATAAATGTATCTAATTTTAGAAAAAAAAAATTGTGAAATAATACCATTTTTGACTCAGTCAAAAAAGGATCCTAATACCTACAAAAGATAGAAATTTGTTTTATAAAATGAATCATTGGTCAATCCTTCAAACAAATGCTTATTGCAAAGCTTTAAAAACATTTATATTCAAACTAAAAAAAACTGAAATGTATAAAAATACATTTATTGGAACTAATGAAAAAGACTTTCCGGACAGTTGGGATGTGACACTATGTAACAGTGGTAAAGGGGAAGGGTTAATTTAAAATATGAACTAGAACAGACAGAGAGGGTTAAAATTACGAATTAAAAGGGACGAAATGGTTTCCTATTGAAAATCTAGCTTGAAGAAAAGACAAACCTGAAAAGAATGACTTTATTAGTTTTAGGAAAGATATTATCAGAGGCCATGTGGAACGCTTCAACCCACGAGGTCCAAGAAGGAATAATGAAAGTACATTCGGAGTTAGTTGAAAATTCTGGAAATGGAAGCAGAAATTGATTTATGTCCACTTAATTAAAGTGGAAGTTATGAAAACATGTCTCATGATTACCAGAAAGAAGAAGGGGTCAATTGTGTTATAATATTTGATAATTTTGAAGATGAAGGCAGAATTGAGAAACTGATTTATGCCTGCCTGTCAAAGAGCAGAAATAGCTTTGCTGATTTTGGAAATGTAAACAAATTGAGAAATCAGATTTTATCTTTCGCTCAAAGAAATTGCAATCAAGAGTACCATCAAGTGAAAAAATATGAAGATAAGTTTTGCTAATAATGGGTCAGTGGAACAGCTGGTAAATGTCTGGTTAAATGGACTGGACTAAGGACTGGAAAAATTTGTTGTTGAAAATTAGGATAATTACAATTGATGATTAAAAGTAACAACCTCCCTTTTGCACATTCAGTTTAAAAATCAGATTTGTCAAAGAGACAGCTGAAGGGGTGGGCTTAGATGAAATACTAAGAAAGGAGGAGAAAAAAGGAGAAATTACCTCCACCCATTTGGAAGTAATGGTGCAAGGTATAAATAAGGGAAGGAATAAGTTATAAGGGTGGGAAATATCTTCAACCACCAGTGGGGCAAATGATTCTCCTGAATGTGGAAAGATAATTAATATTGCTAGCCATTTAAAAAGAACTCTTGTTCAAATCAATACAGAAACCTGGGGAATCATCAGATTCCCAAATACCATCAACCCCACTCCAGACTTGGGTCGAAGTCAATAAAACAGAGCACTTAGGTGACCCAGAGAGAGAGATAGAGACAATTGGTGAAGAGCAAAGGTGCTACTGAAATTCAAGTGACTTGCTGCCAAGAGAACCCCCAACTCTGAACCCTGTTCCAAGAATTACCACCAATAAGCAAAGTGTCACTATAGAAATTTTAGTGTGAAGGGTTAATTTTGTTATACAAAGAACTACATAAAACAAATTGAAAATTGAACCAATGAATCTTTCGTTTTTATCTTGTCTGTGAGAACATTTTTTTTTCTTTCATAACACAACTTCACCATGGTTTGAACTAGTGCTACAATTACTGACAATACTTGATCTCCACTGCTCTGTGACCAAAAAACATGTGGGTAGAGCAAAGTGTGGACTGGGGCAGTCAGCAACCAACTGCCTGTTGACCAGTGACAGTATCAACCAGCGTGGGATTGACCCTGATCCTACAACCCTGAGGACAAAGTCATCTTCTGGTATATTTGGCATGTGGCAGAGCTCATTTTATCTGCTCAATGTTGACCTGGTTTAACTCAGGACTGTGTGCATTATAGAATGGTCCTCCTGCATTTCCTCTTTTGATGATGATTTCTAAACTGAATCTGTTTATAAGCTTATGCTATAGACAATATTCCTGGAACACTCCATATCCTATCATCCCTCGGAAGTGGTATTACACCAAAGTCCCATCTAAACATAAATGTTGATGCCACTTGTGCAATATAATTCAACAAAGGCTATCAAAAATAATTTCTGCTTTTGGTTGGAACTAAAATTTTGATTACAGCAGTAGATGGTGATATAATATCAATGACTTGATCAATGTAAAAGTTAGAGTAATAGCATACTACAACCCAGTGACCTTTGCACTGATAACTGAAGGTCATTTAAAGTGGTTCTTCATTACAAATGGTAGAGCTGTTTGAATATTCAGATTCATTAAGTGCCTTTTCTTCCTTTCTTGTTTCTTTAGAGGTGGAGATGAAGTTCCATTAAAAGAAAAAAACAAAATGTGTGATTCCAGCATGACAGTTTGGACAAAATATAATAAATACTTTATACAATTTTAAAATGCATCTTTAAAGAAAATATAAGAAAAAGATTTAAACTGTGCAATATCCATCAATGAAAAGATTTAAAATGGGGTTCAGCTAGCAATGTTCATTCAACTTGGTCAGCAAATCAAATTCGATGTGTTGGCCCCAATGGTTTTGCATGAAATAAACTGAATATACCTTCTTTTTGATTCACATTCACCATGAACTGCATGGGTGCAGAGATATGAAATCAACTGATTATTAAAATCAAAACATTGCACTACAACAAGGTGCAATTGTCATATTTTTAAGAGTTGAATATCTCTGGTATTTTACTGACTAAATTTTCTATGTAGAAATTTTTTGTAAGGCCATTTTCAAATTCTACCTTAAACCTACCAAACTGAGAAACATCTTTTCTTAATATTTTGATATGTGTCAGGAAAAACACCACTACAAAATTGTCAGCTTTGAAAATGCAAAAAAATAAGCCTTGGTGGTCAATGAAATAGTGACAATATAGAGAAACGTGGAATAAAAAACTAGTCATTACACTTGAAAAAGAATTCTAACTTTATAAATGGAAAGATTAAACTTTGTTTATATACTAATTTTATCAGAATAACTTTGAAAATAAATGAGATATCAGCAATTAAAATTGAAGGAAATTTCACTATTTTGACCCATTTTCATAGTGTAAACTAGAGAAGTTTGAGATACCTAATACACATCAACTCATTGACTCACATAAGCAGTTGTTGAGGGCTTGAAGTGCCTGGTCAGTACCGAAGCCTCAAACATACAAAATTTATCATTTATCATCACAGTGAAGAGAAGGTGGAGGATAGAAAAAATGGGTAGCACTTAATTTGGGGTTAGCATATTTGTTAATGGGTAAGCAGAATTCTCTCTTAACAAAACACAGCTTCACCTGCTTCTGCACATTTTCTTTTCTACTTCAGCCAACTCTGTGTTTTTGAGTAAAATCACCATGGGATAAAATTTAGGGCCAGTTCTATTTTGTTTATTATGATTTAGGATTAAAAACATGACACTTGGTAAAATTGTAATAGTACTCAACCTAACCTTAAACCTGAAATTGGATGAAGATAAAAGCTGAAATAAATCACAATCACATTTTTTTCTGATAATTAACATTCTTAAAATAATAATCCTAATTGATTTATGATAGAGAATCTTTACATGGATTAAATTTGAGAATTTGTGGAGAAATGATAAATGTATCTGGTAAAGAAACATCTGATTTCATCTGTAGTTATACATATATGCATAGTATTATTTCTCATGTCAAAATCAGCCAGTTCCCTGCTTTTAAAAATACAGGACCAGTTTAAATAAGCAATTATGTTCATAATGAGTTTAAGACTTTACAAGTTGAAAACCTGACATGGGGGGAAAAATATGAACAATATTTTAGGAGAATCAAGCTTATCTTAGATGAACTGACAAAAGCACAGTTTAAATGGCAGGGAATTATATCAGTATAGCACAAAAGAGTAATTTTTTTCACAGTTGAGTCCATTGTTTATTATGGTTTTTAAATTAATGCAAATGGTAATAGCATAAGATTCAGCAGCAATCATTTTTCAAAAAACAAGATACTTATAAGAAAAGTATTTTTCAATAGAAAAACTTAGTTTAACATTCATTATCTATATAAAACCATTAACTTTTGCTTAAACTAGCCTTGCTATTGTAAGAGGGTTTTGCAATAACACTGGGTTGAATTTCTTTTTCTCAAGAAGCTGTTCATAGCATGATCTTAGCCACAATTTTTATGTTGCCACCTTTAACATTTTGGCTTCACCTTTCAATAAAACTATGTGAAAGATATACAGTATAGATTTTGCTTAACAACAAAATTTGCTTAATGTTAATTTAGGAAAGAAATGTGAGAATATAAATTGGAAAAAAAAAATGTCATATCCTGAGTGTATAGAAATTAGGTAGACAATAGAGAACAATTAAAACAATTCACCAACCTTTAGTCTTGATTCCAATCCAGTTAAGATAACGTGTCAGTTTCTTTGAGATATATGTCTTTCCTCGGGCTGGTAAACCAACCATAGAAATAACAGTGGGAGCTTGGACAACTGTTGGACACGAAGCTACAGAAAAAAGAAAAAGTATTGAAATAGGTTTTACTAAACAAATTCATCTACAAAACAGTACAGCTTTTAAAGTAAACATTTCATCTCAAAGTTTTTCTTCATAAATTGAAGTCCTTTCAAGTGGAAAGAGGTCTTCAATTTTCACGAAATGCATTGATCATAATACATTTAAACATTTTATAAATATATATTAAGTAATTTTTTTTATGGTTTGCATTTAAAACCAGAACTAAATGTTCAGGTTTCCATTTGTATTTGTTAAATCAGTTGAAGATTACAGCAAATTAAGTAATATCAACTTCTTTATGTAATGAATTGTTTTAACTAGAATCTTTATTTTGGTTATCATCACCAGGATTGTTTTGGTCATGGTATCTTTTGACCTTTTTCAGATGTGTACCATAGTTGCTAACCTTCCAGGAATTTTGAAGTGAACCCTTTATTTAACCCATGGGGGTAGATGAAAAGTCCATGGTGGTAGTGTAAAAGTCATACTAGACAAGTGACATTTAAGGCACTAAGTTACCACAACCAAATTGTCTGATAGGATACATGGCATTGGTTAATTGAATCAAGTTACCTTGCAGTCATGCGTTCAATCCCTCGGTTTAGTAGTGCAAAAATAATATACTCTGATTAAGTGAAAGTGACAAATATCACAAAAACGAATTAAAATTATTATCTGCTAGATCTGCTGGATAATATGAGAACAATATCTATATTGAGTGAATAAAGCTTTTGAGAAATAATTCTACACAAGTTTTCCTACTGTATATTAACAGGAAATTAATGTATAAATCAGTCTTTTTAGGTACATAACAAATTTAGTCTGATGAAGTCCTGAAAGACAAAACGCATTACAAGTAAACTTTTCCCACGTTATCATACAATTTCCCAAATACTGTTCTTGATGTATAAAAATATATTGTTATCTCATAATCAAGCATGTAAATTTTGCCTGGTAAATTTTTCTTTTAGTCTTTTAGCTGTATAGTGAAATAGCTAATACTAAAAGCATGATATCAAATAAATTTTGAAGTATATGGGAAAAATGTGGATTGAATTTTCAGCAATAACTTTCATTTTTTTTTGCATCTATTACTCAAAGTAAATTCACTCAACTGATACTGTTACTTTTGATGAAAGACAAAAAGAAAACACTGACTATGAATAATTCATCTTCATTTCAGTCTCCAGATTCAAAATTTATAATACTTTAAGTCAATTCTTCTTATCTTATTACAAATAATAATTTCAGAATTTGGAAAGGAGAAAAAAATTGATAGTGATCAAGTGTTAATGATACATTTTATAAATTTTTGCCACACAAAATCCCTACATTATAAAAATATTTACTTTTATAGAGAGTACACAATAAAATTACATATTTTTTTAATTTATCTTAACATAATGGATAAGTTAATTCTGAAAATACTTGAGAAATTAATTAAAAAAAAAAAAAGTAAAAAAAAAAACTCATGTCCCCAAACTTAAAAAAAGTAGGATTCAAATATAATAAATGAATGACAGATTAAAGCAAGAGATTCAAGTAATAAATATAATGTAAACAACAACCTCAGAGTAACTATCATTTAGTTAGAAGAATTAATTATAACAAATTTTTGTGAACTGTTTTTGGGGTCCCAGAAAGTTAATGAATTAGACAGTGTAGGTGAAAAATGAAACTAGAAAGTACATTTTTGAAAAGTTAAATAAGCACCTGAGAGATCTAAGCTGATCTGAAAGGAATTATTTGATCATTTTTGGTAATTTCTGACCAATATAAAACATTGTACAAATAAAATTGTAGCCAGTGATTATCAATATTATTAATTACTTCAGAAATATTCAGATAGCCTCAGTATGGATAAATTTCCCAGGAAATAAATAAAATAAATTAACAAAAGACATTCCACTATCTGATTATCAATGACATGGGAGTTGAAGGATTATGAATCCCAATGTGTCCAATAATCAGGTCTGAATTTTGTTAGATAAAGCATTTTCAGATAAACTTATCTTAATTTTGTAACTTGTATAAACAAACAATGAGAAAGGATACAGTAATATAACCAAAGTTAAGCTTTGCTTGTTGGTGGGCCTCATGGTCAAATAGCTAATGCACTGGCTATGCCAACTGAGCTCTCCAGTATATTGGACGAATGTTCAAATATTGTTAGAAACTTTGTTTCTCATACATATTGCTTACTTAATAATTATAGAATATAAAACAAGCCAAGTGTTGTGGTATAAAATAGAAGAATCTATTCTTAATCTAAGATCTTCAGATAACCATAAAAATTTAAGTTTTTGAAAATTTGCAAATAGGCTAATTGTAGTAAGAATTGGTCAATTCCATTTCTGTGAAGATTTACTTCTCTCCAACAGCTGAGATAACAACATTCAAAATTTTAATACTCAGAAATCTTTTGTAAAGTAAGAACATTTAATTGATTAAAATGAGAATTTCATTGGGAATATTAAACAGTAAAGCAAACATATTGCATAGAGCAAAATTTAATTAGCATACCTTGCTATTATCACTTGTATTTAAGGCAGACACTGATAAAAACTTGCAGTTGCCAATTTATTCAGTTCTAACAAATGAAGCCGTATACTGAATATACTTATGCTTCTTTAAGTATTTGTTTAATTAGTTCATGTCTGTCCCATCTATCACCACAAATACTTACATATAACAAGTAACATTTCTATCATATACTTCAACTAATCTCTAAGATCTAATTCAATTACAGTTTTTTATATATATATATATATATATATATATATATATATATCACACACAAATAAACAATACTGGAAATTGGCATATTTCCCAAATGAGGCCAATAATGTAAAACAGCTTGTCCCAAATATGCTAGTTTTCACCACAAGCTCCATGTAGACAGGTACATACTGATGCTGTTGGAATGTTGCAGTTGAAGATGAAAAGCAGGATTAGATGACAGGAAGTTGAAGCAAGAATAATCTGACAGGCATACAGACAAATAAAATAACTTCAGTGAAAGACACACAGAATTTACATTGGACTTTTCCAAAGTGAGGGTCATGATTCCATGGGGGAAGGGATCACAAGTGCAATTGAGATTATTATTATTATTATTAATATACATACTAGCCTTAAGCTTATATTTTGGATATTAATTTTTTTTAAACTATTTTTTCATATATTTTCAATTTTTAATATTCAATAAATGTTGATTATCTGAATTCTTGACAGAAAACAACTACCTAATTATTTTTTTAAAAGAAAAACTATTTATTTTTGTTAAATATATTTATTTATTGTTAAATATATGTTAAATAATTTCCTTTTAGTCAAAGTTGCCCAATTTGGAAATGAAATAAAAAATATACATTTTAGGTTGCTTGAAAGAATAAAAGCAGTTTCAAACTTTTCTTAAAATGAAGGAACTGAGCATTTTCACAACAAAGAAAAAAAAAAATTTATGTATCTGGTCTTCCAAAGTGAAAAATTGCCAATAGTTGATTTTAGCAGAAATGTGTGAGGGCCCCTCAGGCAGAAAAGGGCCGAAATTTCTTTTATTAAATAGAGTGTGGTGGCGGAGTTTAGGAAGACATGATTTTCATGATCCAGTTTTATTTTTTACTATACAAGATTTAATTTTTAAAATTATTACAGCTAAGGAAAACAACTTTGAAAAACTATGGTTGTAAATAATATTACTACAAGAGTTGTTGCAAAGTTTGAAAAAGTTAGAGAAACTTTTCAACAAATGAAAACTATTGCCAGAACATGCAGTGGTGGAAATAAGTATAAGACATCCCATGAAATTGTTAATAATTTTCTTATTACTGCACAAATTCCTCTGAAAATTTGCATGTGGTACCTAGATCCAATGGGTATTAGTATATATATATATATATTCGATTTTATAACAACTTTCCACCAAAAAAAAGTTATTAACAAAACTTTGTTTTCAAGGGTGGAAATAATTATAATTTGAGGGTGGAAATAAGGATAAGACAAAATTTGTATTTAACAGCAAAATTGGACAAAATTCAATATTTGCATTTATTCCCTTTCAATTGTAATACTTCAAGACACCTGTTTTGCATTGAATAAGTTTTCTGAGAGTTTCAGATGGAATTTCATTCCAATACTGTTTAATGCAAGAAAGTTTCTGTCTTCAAATTGACGTTTATTTTTGTATACTCTTCTTGACAAAATTCCCCACAAATTTTCTATTTGGTTTAAATCTGGAGACTTAGTGGGCCAGTCCAAAACTTCAATATCTTTTGTTTTAAACCAGTCTTTCGTGAGCTTAGAAGTGTGTATGGCTGCGTTATCCTGTTGAAAAATGGCATTATTGGTGTCTAGATGATTTCATAAATGAGACAAGACTTTTTTCCAACACATTGATATAGCAAGCAGAGTTTTGTTTCCCTTCTATCACTACTAAATCAGATTTTTCCAGACACAGAAAAAGCTCCCCAAACCATAACAGATACTCCTCCAAATGGTCTTTTTGAAAACCGATGCTTCTCCTTTCTTAAATCATACCAATAACACTGGTAGCTGTCAGGCCCATCCAAATTAAAAATTTTCTCATCAGAAAATTTCCCATTTCTCCTTTGTCCATGTTATTTTTTTCTTTACCCAATCTATGCGCATCTTCTTGTGTTTAGCAGTTAAAGCAGAGGCTGTCTTCCTGTTTCGATACACAACATTTGGCGATTCATGGAGAAGTTGATGAACTCTTCTTTGAGTGATGGATAAATTCTGAGATTTTTGCAGATCTCTTGAGCTTGATTGCCCTCTAGAAGCTTCTTGAAAAAGTCGATGTCTGGCTGCATTTGTAATATTAGGTGGACGACCTGGATGTTTTCTGGTGCCATACGATTCAGGGTCCTTTAGATAATTTCTCACAACTATTTGGGACCTTGACAGTTCTCTTGCAATGAAACATAGATTTTCCTTCCAGTTTATAAGCAGAAATTTGCCCTTTTTCATT